CCATATGTCCTGGACTGTTTGATGCGAGCTGAGAGACTGTGTGCTGGTATACCCAACGCACCGAAGTGCACAGTGTGAGCCCCAAACTCTATAAATCCTGTCGGTCGTGTCTGGAGGTTTCACAGTGCTGTTCACAGTGCTGCCAGTTCCCCAGATATACCTACGGCTTGTCCTCGTGTGATTTTCGTAGTTTCTGGGACGACTATCAACTTTTTCGCATCCCCCTAGATAGGAAAAGCGTCTGCACGTGTGTATTATTGTCATGTTGTAATAAATAGTCTCAAACCATTTCCATCCCAACTCACTTTCGTCTTTGGCTTCGAGGACGGCTCCAAGCCTCATCCTTTATAATGTCCTGGCCCAATGTTGTGCCACAAGCCAGCACATCTTTACCTTGCCTGACAGGTTGCCTAAAACGTGTAGATAGGTATTGCGTACTGCATCCACCTGCCTCTCCACCTCCCCGTCACTGGTTCACTCATTCTTTATTATTAATGACAGGAAACCCTAAGTTTTTGTCTCAAGAGGTTCGTCATTTTACCTCCATGTAACCCATTGCCTCTCTTCACAACCGTTACTTGTTCATGGTTTGGCAGTACCGATATGGTATCATACTGTATGCCTCGAGGTTTGCCCATTGCCTGCGAATGTGTATTTCCAAGTGCTTTCCCAGAAATTGTATTTCCAGACTTGGGATCCCTGCTCCCTCCTACAGCCACGCTATGCATCCTGTGCAGTTGTTTGCCGGGTTCGAAGGGACTGACCCCTCATCTTGTGCTTTTTAGCGGACCACCACTGTGAAGGGGACGGACCCTGAAATCCATGAACACACACCAGAGACACCTACGTACCCAACATCGTTTTCCGTCACTGGATGTGAGAATGGCTCGATGATTTTTCATAGGCGATGTGGCTGTCAACCTGAATTGTCTTGAGGTAGCTTCACGGCCATGTGGAGGGCAATGTTCAAACAACAGATTAGTTACAACTCATCTGGTTGTCTGGTACCGGGGTACTCGATACAGTCACAGCCACGACTTTCAGAAGAATACCCCTACCTCCTGGACCACGAACTGGTTACAACCGACTGATACGTCAAGGGCGTGAATCAGAACTAGCCGAGGATTCCGGCCCCGCCAGTCCACTAGTTTGCTACTGGTCAAAATATTGACGACTATTACGGTGCACTGCAATTCACTGCTTTGCCTTGTTTTTGGCCTTAGGGCTACCCATCCGGTCTGTGAGTCGGCAAAGTATTACCTAGTTGGTAGGGTCAGACCAGTTATGGAACTGTGCGACTCGTTTGACCTGCGGCAAATCCGTTCAATTGATATTTGGGTGGCAAAACAAGTCTCTAGCAAGGCTTTTTTTGGAGGGTAGGATTCTCATGTCATCCAACGACAACCTATTCGTTGGCGTCCCCTCGGCTGGGACCATTCTTGGGTCATTGGTTGGGTTTTGTTGCCCTGCCCGTGGGCTGCTGATACAGGTTATGAAGTCACTGTTTCGCCATAGTAGTCCCATTATTAGACAACCCCGATATTATCAGTGTGCTACGAAGTTTGACATAGGTACCTGGGAGTCTAGGTATGCCTCCTCACGACAACACATTACCATCGAGTGCTCCCGGATATGAGGGCCGCATTCTTTCGCCTGGGTAAATCTAGAATCGCAGCTTATGTAAACTATACAACCTCAAGAAACAATACGGGGGAATATATTGTCTGCCTATGTTAAATGCAAGCACTTAAGCCTGGCTGAGCTAGCCACGGCAAGCCACTTCGAATACTAATGAACGTCATGCTTATTATGACAGAATAAACCAACCTTAGCTCTGCAGTCAGTCAGGGCGCAGTCAAAAGATTTTACCGATTTGACGGACAATCGGTACTTGAGTTTAGATCCCTAGTACAGAGGGCCCCGTGAATTTCCTTCCCTTTTTTTTAACGAGAAACGACCACATGAAGTTACGTACCCGTGTCCCACCGACCGGAACCAGTTGCTACACATCGCATCGAGCCACTGGTCAGTCAGTGGGTGACTGACTGCGCGTCCAGCCCATGCAGCAGCAGCAGTGCGGTGCACCGCAGTTTAATTTAGCGCCAATTATCTGCATACCACGTTGCCTGGTCAGAAGAAACCACCGGCTTTCTGTGATGGGAAATTCCCATTTGCCCCCCCCTTGCCTGTTTTCTTGCGGGTGCCGTGTGCGTGCAGGCCATTCGGTCCCTTTATAAGACTACGGCAGATAGAGTATAGTATAGGTAGGTTCTGGAATTCAGGTATCAAAGTATTTTTACATGCTTGAAGCCATTACGTCGTTTGTCTTATGCCATCATGTTTGGTGGAATTACACCAGCAGAGGTACAATAGAATCTCCAGGTTCTTCCCCGGAGTCAATTCACTCGTGACCGTCCCGTCGTTAGGACATAGGTGGTTGCAGCAGGGTAGGAATCACGCATCACATTATTTCATTTCATGGGATCACGCATATGATAGAATGCAGCCACCCCGCTGGCCGATGTATTGTCATCTAGAACGAGCGAGCACATATACAAGGCTAAATATACCAAACAGAGCAAAGCAACCCTAGGTATTCAGTTCTCGAAAGAGAAAGTTATTTTATGATAATAATATTGTTTATGCAGAATAGTTCTCCTTTTCAACTAGGTACCATGTATAGAGTATCTTCAAGTCCTTCACAAAGGATAAAAGAACCTCCGATGCATATATCCACCATCTATAACCTCGACGACACCTCCGTATTAGGAACGGGATCTCGCAGATGGTACTGCAGATTCTCCAATATGGCTGGAAACGACGACTTCGGTGATGAGATAACCTTCATAGTTTGCCTAGTGACGAAATGCTGTAGATAGGGTATCACATTATGACGTGCAAGCAGACAAGAGAACGGAGCGGGGTGATTGAGCAATGGGCTAGTAGTTGATAGAGTTTATTAGGTCTTGTTCCGTTTACGCTTTAATGAGACAACCCTCGAACCTCTTGGTCTCTCTGAGATAAATGATATTTGAAGCTGGCAACAATTTTAACAATGATCTACTACAAGACGAGGCTTTCCTCGTCAGCTCGAAACTCGACGGCCTGTCCGCTTTTCTAGTAGTGTAGACCCGCTGACCAGACGCCTCTCTTAACTCCTAGCCCTTTCTCTCTATCTAACAAGGCTCTAATCTTGGATATCAGATACCACGATTAAACACAACTAGCCCGCCTTCCCCGCCACGACCATGGAACTCTTCTTCCAGACTCTCCGCACTGATCCTCTGGCGCTGGGGGAACGCCGCCAGAGCAAGCGGCAACGCAATATAACTCATGCCAAGGATCAAGCCCAAGTTCACCGGTAGCGTATACCGCGGGTTGTTGCGTAGCCACTGCGTGCGCTGCAGCCGGACGAGGATCAGTGGCGGGACAACCATGATCGGACTGCTGTTGAGCACGCGGCTAAGCGCCGTCTCGCCCACGGCCAATGTCGCCGCCTTGCGACTCTTGCCCAGCGAGGTCACGTCGCTCTCTGCACGGCCCTCGGCTGCCAAGCGCTCTTTGTCCGCCGCTGACAGCACCGGGTATACGTCGATGCCGATACGCATCTCCTCGCCGCGCATAAGAAATACGTTGAGGAAGCCAGCCGACGCGACAGCGGCAAAGGGCACCAGTCGCCCGAGGATCAGCTTCGTGGAGGGCGACACGCGCTTTAGGCGCGGCACGAGCGAGTTCAGACCCACGGCTACGGAGCACGAGGCCCCTACGGCGAGGAAGTAGGACTGCGCGATTTTAGAGTACGAGAGCGGCGTCGACTTGTTCGCGTTCGCGTTGTTGATGGCGACGTTGAGGGACTGGTTTCCGATCTGCCAGAGGACTGTGCCGACATTCTGCGAGAATTGCGAAATGGTTAGTTCGGCTTTGCGCATCACTTCAGGCTCCTTCCTAGGTCACAATGGCGGAGGGGGTGGAGGTGGAAAAGTATCGTATCTGGAGGAGAATGCATACCGACAGACCTGGCGTAAGCATTCCAGCTGTGACAACCAGGTTCGAGAGGGCGAAGCACGACATTCGAAAGGGCAGTAAGACGGGTTGGCCGGTATCTAGATAGTCGCATCGTGTCCAATTAGCCCAGATCCAAAGCCGCAGTCTGGATCGTAGGAAAGGGTTCATGGGCTCGCAGCCGTACCAGGATGTAATGTCGAGTCGACGATCTTCTTCGCCTTCCACAACTCGGGTGTCATCTCCTTGACCTCGCCCTGCTTGTATGCCATGACCAGCTTCTTCGCATCCTCGAGGCCACTCTTCCCCGCCAAGAGGGTTCTAAAGAGAGCAGAGCTGTGTTAGTTATATTCCATTGGTCAAGGTAGGTAAAAGAGACGCTCGGTCAGAATGCGACCCTGTATGTTTCTTCCTCGCCAACCAAGAATTGGCGCAAAAAGAAAAGCTCACCTTGGATCCGTGATGCTAGCAGTATGGCGCACGCGGCCCCAATACGTGCTCAGGTCATACTGCGACTCGGGCAGCTCCCGGTTGCCAGGAAGGGAGGCGGACATGATTACAACAATTGTGTCGAAACTGCCCTCGCCGAGCACTCCTGCTATATCACCACAAGGCTGCAATTGGTCATGGCAACGGAAGATCTCAAAAGAGTCGCAATTCACGTCTTGTCATTGGCGGTGAAAGATGATTTACTGCATGGGCCGAGGTCGGGACCCATGACTTCCCAAACGGCCCCACTAACGGCAGTTATCAGATAGCCCGTCTAGACCAGCAGCAGAAGGGAGGCCAATGTGAAATGCCCAAATCAATTATCGATAGAGAGTCAGTATTCTAAGAATATTGTAAATAAACCAAGGGCCTTCTAACATTTAGAGGGCTGTCTGACTCGGGTTCACCCGTGATTAACCGACCATAGGAGGCCAGACATGAAAGTCAAGAGACGGGGCACTGTATGACAAAACTAGAAGCCATAATATAAATTCTGCAAAAGATTATCGCGATTCCGGCCGGACTCGAACCGACAATCTCTAGAGAATCGAATAGGAACCGAAATCTAGCGCCCTAGCCATTAGGCCACGGAACCTCTTGTTGAACTGATGGTCAAGCTAATAAAATGCAAAAGCGCAGTGTTACTAGAGTATAGTCACGTCAGTATACAGGGATAATGCCAAGTCGTTGGGCGGGTGGGTAAGGTTGCGGCAAATGCGGGGGCTAAGAGGGGTCCTCGCACGTCAGGAGGAAGGTCACGGTGTGGATGCCGGGGGTGGCGATACCGGCGAGCCCGGATTTTTCATCGAGGTACGAGTAGTGTGTCCCCCAGGTCCTCAGGGATGAGCATATTTGTCTTCGGTCGAAGAATGTGATAGAGGCATGGGTCCCTGTTGTTGTTGTTGAGTTATTTCCTAGTTCCTAGTATCAGTAGGTTTGCAGAAATGGGAGTGAATAGCTCATTCTTTCGAGCAATATGGCAGGATTTCAAACATACACCGGCGCGGAAAGGTACATAGAGTGCAGAAAAGTATTCATGCGCAAAACAGAAGGCTAACCAGCGCTGGGCTGTCCCACATCTTTGGTTGAACACAGCTTGTCGTAGATGGTATGAGTTATCTAATAATACACGGAATGATAGTTAGTGAGTTGCTGAATGACTAATACCAGCTCGTTTGCAGACGGGAAGGGCAGCAATGTAGAAAGCATTGCTTCTATTTGATCTAGGGACAATCCGGTGCCAGACTGGGTTTTGCGTTACGTTCTGAGCCTGTGTCGCTTGGCTTTTTTTTAATATATCCTTCTAGTAAGCTTTTTTCGCTAGATCATTCATGAAATTGCCTCCTATTAAGTTATTTCTATGCCGGGAGCCTTCTGGACAGCGTCAGAGGGATGGCTCAAATGGTGTTATTATTGAAGCGCGAATGATCTCCGTGACGCGGTCTAAGAACAGGAAGTAGAAGTCGACCGTAGGGATAGGTATATCTACGTTAAGCCCTTGTGGTATGTCATACACCGCAGTTTAATGATGACGAATCATATATAAATGAGATGGAAGTCTTAACCGGAGCGGTGACATGACTCCATATAAGCTCATGTTGATGTTTGAGTTGGCAGACCAAGGCAGCTGACGATGTTGATTTGATTTGACCGAAAAATACTAAAGGAAAATCAGGAAAAAGGGTAATGAGTGTTTTTGTTTCACTTCATCTCCGTTTGCCTTCTCCTTCTCCTTTTCTCCACGTTGGCCGCCGCCTCACTCTCCTCTTTCATCTTCTCCGAGGTCGCCAACACCTCTTAGGCCTTCTCGGCCTTCTCCGCCGCAAAAGCGCTGCGCGCTTTAAAGAACTATATTAGGTTAGGAAAAACCATGAATAATTAAATAAACTTTTAACTACTTGTTTTCGATGCGGGCAGAATTCCGCGCTCTGCCGTTGCTGCTACCACCGATGAAGACGATGGCTGTATTAACATCAGGATAAAAATGCTAAACTATTCAAGTTGCGTGTACTCATAATTGTGAAAGATTTTCAAAATTTATCGGTGCTTATTAGATTAGTTAGCTAATTATCCAGTGATAAGTTATAACGGCTCGTGATTGCATCGGGATGCAGGGATGTAGTGATTAGCTTTGAGGGCGAATGAATCCGAACTGGCAAGGAGCAGGACAAGAGAATGTGAACACAACTGAAATCAAGAGGATAATAGACTCAGGAGAGACCGAGTACGCAGGCAGGCGGATACGCCAAACGTGAAACATGCATTGGGACAGGTGAACAAAGGCAAAACGGAAACCGGGAGAAGTGGACTCGGAGGTGACTGGATCCAGGGGTGAACGGACTCGCGAAGAGTCTCGACTCGAGAAAGATAGGCTTGGGGCAAATAGTCTGGTAGAAGATTGATTGATGACGACAATGGACCTGAAGACAAGAAGACTCTGAATTACGTGGACATATGTGCAGACCTTGAGGCAGAAGGTACTGAGTCGGTATGGGTGTCTAGATATGCAGACAGACAGATGGAGATATATGAATACAAGGGATAATACTCACTAGTGTTGCTGCTGCTGCTGCCGATAGTGGCATTGAAGAAAGAAGAAGAAAAGAGAAAGAGAGACCGTGACAAGACATCAAAGCCGGGGCTACTACAACTCAGGGCTCCGTCGCCGGGTATGTAAAGTTTGATTGAAACAGTAAATTGTAAGAATAAGCAAGGTATTCTATAAAAGATACTCCTTCTAGACTCATTGATCGATTTCACGTAGCTTCCTACCTACCTATATTCCGCTGAACCCCGAAGTATCTAGCCTGCCACTAGATAGTAGCCACTGTAGTAGTAACAACAGCAATAATAACGATAGAGTTAACATGCATTCTCCGTCGATCCCTCGGTTAACCCATTCCTTGCTTCTTCTAACCTCCGCTCCTTCTTTCCTAAGCGAAGTAGCCTACTAGATGCATGTAGTATATACCTCCTATGGTTTATGTTTCTATACTTCGGTGGTATTAAAGGCATATAAACATCGGGCACTAGCTGCTATGTTCTCATTCTTTTCTGCAGTGGAGGCGGTAATTAGCTAAGTTCTGAATGGACTTACCAAACCTACCAACACGGGATCAGGACCCAACTGTCAGTATGTTACCGAACTTTAGGCTTGACGTGGTGGTCAACTAAGTTTAATCAGTCCGTGTTGTGCAACCCCGACAGTGCAATAACCAAAAAATTCGTCCTCTATGAGGCATAATACAGACAGGTAGGGTCTCTTATAGCAAATGCTCGATACTGGTACACACTTAACGTGTGCCTTACGCGATACTGCTGTGAGCCTGGCAGAGCGTGTTAAGACAACTCCATACCAACTTATTTAACATAATCCATCTTCTTATTCGGGGAAACAATAAACTTACATATTGATCTGGGGAAAAGAACACCCGCAGTGCGGAACACAGTTAGCGGTGGTTTCCCTAGTTGATACCTCCCTTGGATTCGACTGTTGAGAGGGGGAGCCAGAAGTCAAAGACTTCACCCAGGTATGTGGACTTAGCGATTCTGGCGGCAGCGGTTTGGGCAACGCATTGATCAATATAAACGCGTTCAAAAGGACACACTTGGGGTGGCCTGGGGCCCATATAGCGAATATCTTGTAACTCAACGAAAGACTTGAATTTTTATGCTGGAGGATGCGTGTCTGGGAAATCTGCGCGTCCGTGAGAAGAACGCGAAAACGAAGAAATACATGAATGATCAACTCAACCCCTGAACGCTAGTCACGGGACCGAACTTCCCTACCCCGAATCAATATATTGTAGTAAATGAAGTGTACCACTTTTCATTTCAGGGGCCAAAGTCGAGTTCTGCGTAATCGTGATCACATTCATAACAAATCTGGTTCACAGCAAGCTTTAACTTCAAAGAAGAACATCATCACAGTTAGAACGTACTTGGCGCGTTCATAAAGAGAAAAAAGCTTGGGGAGCAGAACATATTTGCGTCATAGGTGGACATCTCTATACCAATGCGTGTAGATACCGATGTGCCCATCTCTACCAACGTAATATCGATCATTAAACTGCCATAGCTCGCTTTCTTAGCTAAGTAAGGGTCATATAGATGTATAAATACAAAGATTTCGTAAAAAACAGATCCGGCCCCTGGATTAGTGGTTAAAGCGTCTCTCTCGGACTCTGTCAGGTGTAAAGGTCGTATGAGGGTAGCTGTTACCCCCGGGTATGGTTTTATTAAGGATTCTAGTCATACAAGGCTGGGTCGCCTCCCAACGGAGTTGGGAGAGACCCAGGAATCAATACTATTGAGCCCTTACCCCATACTGCGATCTACCTGTGACCTACCAAGCGACCTAGTAGCCACGTATTCACTCTGGGGAATATACTCCTGACAGACTCTTTGTTGCCGCCTTGTTGCTGCTGCCGCCAGCTACACGGCGGCAGCTGAGAGCCCGAACACAGAGAAACCCCAGGGTTTAATTCCCGGGGGGCTCAACCTTTTTTAACTATAGCTACAGCAGTATTTATCTGTATTCTATCTTTGGTTGTTCAGCTTACCTATTTCGAACGTGGGCGATAGCACACAGGCTCAATGCCGCTAGGGCGGATATGTGGCCAGAACAACTTTGACATAGTATTATTTGACTTCCTCCCGCGCCATCAGCTTACCTATATGCTGATACAAAATGATGATATAAGACGGTATTAATAGAACATGTTCTATTTTTGCAATAGAGCCAGGAAATATTACCTTTCCAGCAAAATGTTCTGAGTGAACGAATAACCGGGTCCAGTTGGTCAGCCTTGAAGGCCGCCGAATCGACCCGATTAATTATCCTCCTTGGATGTATCACACATGTATCAAATCCTGTTGGCATTCCTCACTTGCCAGACCTGCCAACATAAGGTCAGAATCCAACAGTTCAACCTGCTTATCGCTGTAATATAGTTGGAAACAAATAAGAATTTTGATCAGACCGCCTTCGTTTTGAGCCTGTGTAACCCCCAGCGTCCATTGCGGCATTGTAGTTGTTGTTCCTGCTTGTTTAGGACCAGCTGCGTGACAATCCTTGTGCGCTTAGAAAGTATCTTGCTGAGCCTCATGGAGCTAGTGACCGACAAAAATTTTCCTAAGGATAAGCCATCCAATACACGGCTATTCTGCTGCACTGAAGTGGTTGTTATACAAGTTGGGCCGGATTAGATGGAGTAGATCAACAACTAAGTAACAAAATTGCCACAATAAACCACATAAAGAATAACACCATTCCGTAGACTCCACATATGAGAAAACAATAAAAAGTTCCTTCGTTGGGGAATAAGGATTATACAAGATTCCCGGTTCGAGATAAGCATCAAAAGCATCCTAAAAGCCCGTATAATACTAAAGCTTCCGTAAGTATGTCCCTATTAGCGATGTCAGTACCTCTGGAAGTAAGCCAACTATTACACAACCGGATATGGCACTACTTGTTCGTGTAGTTGATAGCGTATCTCGATCCGGGGTAGTACTCAGATGCGGCCCCGTGTTCAGAGAGGCGGGGACAGTACTTATAGCGGCATATCATGAGACTCTTGTGAGGCCTTTGTT